CGCCAACTCCTCCCCCCTCGCCGCCGCCGTACCCTCCTGGCAGGGCGCCCACGCCGCCGCCCTCCCCGCCGCCGTTCCCGCCGGGCAGGGCCCCGACACCCCCGCCATCGCCGCCGCCTAACCCGCCCGGAGCTGCACCGACGCCTCCGCCCTTCCCACCTGGCAAGGCTCCGACGCCGCCGCCGTCACCGCCGCCCTATCCGCCTGGCTAGGCTCCCACGCCGCCACCTTCGCCGCCGCCCTTCCCACCGGGCAAGGCGCCCACGCCGCCGCCGTCGCCGCCGCCGTACCCGCCAGGCAAGGCGCCGGCCCCTCCGCCCTCGCCGCCGCCCTACCCGCCGGGCATGGCGCCGACGCCGCCGCCCTTCCCGCCTGGCAAGGCACCGACACCCCCACCTTCGCCGCCGCCCTATCCGCCAGGCAAGGCGCCCACGCCGCCACCGTCGCCGCCGCCCTACCCACCAGGCAAGGCGCCGACGCCGCCACCGTCGCCGCCGCCTTATCCTCCTGGCAAGGCGCCCACGCCACCGCCCTCGCCGCCGCCGTACCCGCCCGGCAAGGCACCGACACCGCCACCCTCGCCGCCGCCCTACCCACCGGGCATGGCGCCGACGCCTCCGCCCTTCCCGCCTGGCAAGGCACCGACACCCCCGCCCTCGCCGCCGCCCTACCCACCGGGCAAGGCGCCAACACCACCGCCGTCGCCGCCGCCGTACCCGCCTGGAAAGGCGCCGACGCCGCCGCCTTCGCCACCGCCTTATCCGCCTGGCAAGGCGCCCACGCCTCCTCCCTCGCCGCCGCCGTACCCGCCCGGCAAGGCACCCACGCCGCCGCCCTCGCCGCCGCCGTTACCACCGGGCATGACACCGACGCCTCCGCCCTATCCGCCTGGCAAGGCACCGACACCCCCACCCTCGCCGCCGCCCTATCCGCCAGGCAAGGCGCCAACACCCCCGCCGTCGCCGCCGCCGTACCCGCCGGGCGAGGCGCCAACACCGCCACCCTCGCCGCCGCCTTATCCGCCTGGCAAGGCGCCCACGCCGCCGCCGTCGCCGCCGCCGTATCCACCTGGCAAGGCGCCGACCCCACCGCCCTCGCCGCCGCCGTATCCACCGGGCATGGCGCCGACGCCGCCGCCCTTTCCGCCTGGCAAGGCACCGACACCCCCGCCCTCGCCGCCGCCCTATCCGCCAGGCAAGGCGCCGACCCCCCCGCCGTCGCCGCCGCCCTACCCACCGGGCAAGGCGCCGACACCACCACCCTCGCCGCCGCCCTTCCCACCGGGCAAGGCGCCCACGCCGCCACCCTCGCCGCCACCGTACCCGCCCGGCAAGGCGCCAACACCGCCGCCCTCGCCGCCGCCTTATCCACCGGGCATGGCGCCGACGCCGCCGCCCTTCCCGCCTGGCAAGGCACCGACACCCCCGCCCTCGCCGCCGTCGTATCCTCCAGGCAAGGCGCCG